GCATATGCGGGCACGCTGCGCAGATGCAAGTGTGCTGCGCTAATGCAGAGCAGCGCTGCGCTAAGAAGAAGCAGGGCAGCGCTAGGCGGTAGGGCACTGCCTGCTTGCAGAGCACTGGCGGACATAGCCGGGCCGCATGAGGGTGCAGGGGAGGTGAGGGCGAAGGTGTTACTTCGGAGGTGAAGGGCGCTGTGTGGGTAACAAGGGAGAGTGTGGGGAAGAGGACATGTACGTGGTGATGGAGGAGATCGGCATTGGTGTTGACATCATCACTCGTTGGTAGTCAAGTTGTCTGGTTGCTTTTCATTGCTGTAGTTGTAGGATAGCTGTAGAGTAGATAGGGCGCCTGGCGCCATTCACAAGAGAGAGCTACATTTGGGTTATGCTGTTGGTGTTGCCCTGGTGGGCATGGACATTGACTCATGATTCTTTTGTATCATTCTCAATTGGATGGTTACTCGGTTCCATGTGCTATCTGCTTCGGCTTTGACTACTTGGACTTCAGTGTGATTTTGCATTCTGGATTTCTGTGCTTCATCCATACTCATGTTCCTTGCAATTTGGTATTGGAGCTGGTTTGATCGCCACTTACCTTTGGCATGCTGGCGTTATACAGACTTGGTGCGTTGATGATGCTTCTTCGCAGTGGGTACTTGTGACGTCAGGCTACACTAGGCGCACGCCCTGGGTAGAGAGGGGTGCACCGGAAGGCTATTGACGACATTATTAGCCGTGGGATACAGTGGAATGTCTGATTGGTGATGAGAGCATGCTGATGTGGCATTGGACTCAGGTGACACTGCATTGCGTTGTGGGTGGTACCGAAGTCATGACCGGTCATCAAATGCAACATCAGCTCAATTGGTGAGAAATCTGTGGTTGGGGGCAGCTATCTCCAGGTATGTTGTTCCCTTACCTTATCTACTCTCTCAATCTCTTCTTACCACGAGGAAGTGAGTCCAACTTGAGAGTCCTCTCTTTTGGTGAGGTGTCGTGAGCGCGCTACCTTGAGAGACGACAATCTTCCCGGAAGCATACTGGAAAGAGAAAGGGCGGTGCCTCTGAAGGGCCCTGGTCGAAGCACTTGGGTCACGGTCACCATGCCAATCCACAGGGAGTAGTGCACGCATGCGATGGCTGCTGTCCTGTTTGGCACTTGCTGCGCTGATAGAAGTTCCTCCGGGTGTGCCAGCCCATGACAGACGCTTACCAGACCGTCTATAAACATTTCTGGTTGGGAGTTCATTGTGATTCTGGCTGTGATCGTCGTCCTGACTGCGACGTTAAATAATTCATGAAGAGATGGGGGTGCTCTATAAATCCCTCCTGATCAGCCAGATCACATGGACAGGAAGGCTCGTCGCCGTACGAGGGTAAGTAAGAGTGGTTGGGCTGGCTTGCTCGGTGACAACTTGGGTACAGGGGTGGGCCGACATGCACACAAAGACACTGCCTGCTCAATGATGCTGTTCGGATGGTTGGATTGAGGGGAAGGGTAGGTTCCAATTGGTGCTCAACTGTAAACACAACAATACCCATCAATCATACATCTGCTACATTGTCTTTTTGTACTTTGATTAGTTGGTTGACGGACTGCTAACCTCACAGATAGATTAGTTTAGGACTGTTGTATGCTACCATAGCCAGTTCTAACTAACGCTGTTGTAAGTGAACCATTCAGGGTGCATCTAGACAGTGTAGACAATCTGTGTGAATGTTGTAGACATGCCACTTGATTCGGTATAGTAGGATACTCGCCGGACACAACTATTGTTAGAAAATTAGGTGCCGGTCAGATACATGCTGTGGTAGGATTCCACTAGGGGATTCTAGTGCAGAAACTATCTGCCTAACTAATGAGTGGATCAGAACCTGTTGATGATAGAGCAGACACTAGAAGATTAACACGTGCACAAGCACTAAGGGTACCGCACGTGTTCAGGACCTTGGACGAGGAAGAATTAAGACAACTTCACGCTGAACGCAGAGCCCGTGCTCTCGCAGCATCGAGAGCAACAGCAAACGCCGCAACTAGGGAACAGGCTGCCGCAGCAGCTAGGGCAGCAGCCATGACTAGCTCAACAGAATCCTCTGCGGCTTTGTCAGGGACTAATGAGACGAGTGTGGGAATGCCAGCTAGTTCCACGAGTTCCTCGGGCACTTCCGGGTCTACAGGTTCTAGAGGGTCTTTTAGTCAAATGGCAGGCTCGCAGTTCAGCCCCATGACCGCACGAGAGCGGGAGCTCAGAGAGATCCAATGGGTCGAGAGGCTCCGCCAACAATTAGAGGAGGATCTAAAGAAAGCAACCGATAGAGAAAAAGAGATAAAAAGTAGAGTAGCCAGACTTGATACGTTAGAGGCTGACAAGGCTGCGTTAGAGGGATTGAACGAATCAAGTTTGTCTGACCCCCTGAAAGTGTTGAGGGACAGCATGTTGTCATTGCATGCGCATGTGGACAGCAGGATGGACTTCATGCAAAGCACTTTGGACCAGATCCTGGATGCATTGACAAAGCCAGGATTCCGACCACCAGCACAATCGTCGTTGCCGTTAACGGCGATGTCAGGCCCCTTTGCCGTACAAGCTGGCACACAGCCAAGTGGTACGTCTGCAGCAGCAACACAAACTGTTGCATCTTCTTCTTCGGGTCCAGTGGTGATTGCTACATCACCACAACAACCTATTCAACAATCTGGACAGCAGCAAGGTCAATGGTACCCCAAGACCCCAATGAAACCGCCTCTTGCCTTCTCAGGCGAGAGAAAGGAYGAGGAACTCRRCACATGGTTGAGGACGGTCCCGGTTTGGGTGAAGGCCAAAAGGACCTTGCCAGAGGATGAGGTGGTAACTGCGGCATCTTACCTAGAGGGTAAAGCAGCCAAATGGTTAGATGGGGTAGTTGTGAAAGCCGGGTACGGGCGACGCATGGCAGATTGGACTAAGTCTTTGACTCTAGACCAATTCATGGAGATGGTAGAAGCTCGATGGCATAACCCACAGGAGGCTCAAAGGGCCACTGATGCCATTAACAAACTTGACCAACGCAAGTTTAGGTTAGTTAGGGAGCTTACGACTACCGTCGAGAGCCTGATCCTCGTCCCAGGCATCAACTACAGTGACCAGTTCCTCTTGACCACGTTTGTTAGATGTCTACCTGAGAACATGAGGAACTTACTAGCCAGTGAGGCACGCACTGAGTACCACTCATTTGAGACATTGTCTAGGAAAGCCTTAGACTTAGAGGCCACGCTAGGCAATGCTCAACCCACCTTAGGGAATGACTCAAAGAAGAAGAAGAGTCCTCAGGAGTGAAAGAAGAAGGGGGCAAAGTTGATGATGGTTGAGTCTGATGGGACTCAAACTGAGATCGATGAGCTCTCTGACCTGATGGACTACTCAGAGTATGACGGCGAGGAGGTAGCTGAGGGTAGCACCCTCGCCGCGGTAGTAAAGATCAAGGCAGGTGGCCGAGGGAAGGGCCAACTAAGGAGTCAAGGGAAGGCCGCCTCCAATCAGTCCAAACAGGCTGAGTGGGTCAAGGCAGGTCTTGACCAGCACGTGTGGCGTGACCGCCGATCGCGTGGCGCTTGTATCAACTGCGGTGAATACGGACACACGCAGTGGAAGTGCCCGAACGCTAAGGTTACGCAAAAGGTTGCACCAAAGGTTGGGGCAACTATTTCCCAGGCTTCTAGCTCGGGAAACGCGTAGGGCCAGTGGAAGTGATAGCGGCTTCTACTCAAGATGAAGTGAGAATGATACCCTCCTCACTTCATGACAAGGCCGAAGCTAATGACTCCTTAGCTACCCCGCAGACGCATCTAGACCAAACTATGCTCTGTACGTTAGATGTGTCTGAGGCCTTAGAAGACTTCAAGTTAGAAGGCGAGTGGTCAAACAAGGACCCTCGTGAGTCTTGGGCGGCGCTAAAGAAGGGTCCTAGAGGGGAACATTTCGTTGTGGAAGTGGATGTAGGAGGCCGCAAATGTGGTGTCTTCATAGACACAGGCTCCACGCGAAATTACATAAGTCGCGACTGTTTGGAAAGGCTGCACCTATAGGACCGGGTACGGCACCTTAGTAGACTAGTAGCATCTACTTTGGCCAACAAAGAAGCGCATGATTGTCACAGACTACCTCAAGGACGTAGTCTGTACCTTCTCCTATGGGGGAGGTGAGCTTAACCATAAGATCTCGTTCTTGGTTAGTAACGACTTGCCATTTGACATGTTGCTAGGCCTGTACTACCTCGACATTGCTAAGCCCCAGTTTGACTGGGATAAGAAGGTGCTCAAACAGAAGTTGCCCGATGGCCGAACTGTCAGAATGACTAAGTTCAAGGCCAGTAGTATTATAGATACCTATGGCTGCTTGTGCGCATCTGCGTTCTACAATTACTATAAGCAAAACCAAGAGGAAGGTATGTACCTTGTTTATGTCTCTGAGAAGGGGGAGGCCGTTAAAACACCCCCGGAGATAGAAGGCGTCGTTGCTAAGTTCCCTGATCTGTTCAAGGAGCCCACAGGAGTTGTTGATAGGGAAGTCGTCCACGCTATAGAAATCATTCCAGGGAGTAAGACCCCAAAGGGAAGGATCTATAGGATGGCCCCTGCCGAGTTAGATGAACTTCGGAAGCAACTCAAGGAGCTGACAGAGAAGGGATGGATTCGGCTTAGTACTTCCCCTTACGGATCACCTGTGCTATTCGTACCAAAGGAGGGGGGTACTTTGAGGATGTGCATTGATTATAGGGGCCTCAATGCCATCACGGTGAAAAACGCAGATCCTCTACCCCGCATAGACGACCTATTGGATAGAGTGCAGGGATGCAAGTACTATACGAAGATAGACTTGAAATCCGGATATCATCAGATCGCAATAAAACTTGAGGACCAACACAAGACAACTTTTCAGACTAGATATGGTCTGTATGAGTTTGTAGTGATGCCTTTTGGTCTTTGCAATGCGCCGGGTACATTCCAGCACGCTATGAATCGGATCTTCCATGACCATTTAGATAAGTTTGTCGTAGTCTATCTAGACGACATTCTGATCTTTAGTAAGTCTGCCGAGGAGCACGCACAACATGTTGAGACAGTTCTCTCACTCCTACGACAGCACAAGTATAAGATCAACCTACAAAAGTGTGAATTCGGTCGCGCTAAGATTCTATACTTGGGTCATGAAGTATCCGCGGAGGGAATTAGGCGGGAAGATGCGAAAGTGGCTAGTATTCGAGACTGGCCACGACCTCAGACAGTTACTGAGGTCAGATCTTTCTTAGGAATGTGCGGCTACTATAGGAACTTCGTAAAGAACTATTCTACAATCGCCTCTCCTTTGACAGATCTAACTCGACTTGACACACCGTGGGACTGGAGTGATGAGTGCGAGGATGCTTTCAAGAGATTGAAGCATGCACTCATGAATCACGAAGTTCTCATGGTTCCCGATCCGCAGAAGTCATTCATAGTGACCACTTATGCAAGCCAATGCGACATTGGCGCAGTGCTGGCTCAGCAGGATGGGAAAAAGTTGAGACCGATTGAGTATATGAGTAAGAAGATGCCATCGAAGAAATTGGCTAAGTCCACCTACGAAAGGGAACTCTACGCTCTCTACAAGACACTTGTCCATTGGAGACACTTCCTTTTGGGAAGATTCTTCTATCTGAGGACTGATCATCAGACCCTCAAATGGATCAAGACTCAACCGACTCTTTCTGATGCACTCAAGCGATGGATTGAGGTCATAGACCAATATGACTTCAAGCTTGAGCACCTGAAGGGAGAGTACAACAAGGTTGCAGACGCGCTATCCCGTAGAGCAGACTACCTAGGTGCGCTAGTTTTCGAATTTGGCGTATCTAACAAAGTAACTCAATCATTGGTGGGAGCCTATCAGGAAGACCCTGTCACGATGAACATCATCCGTAAACTTCAGGCAAAAGACAAGGCCACAGAAAGTGAGTTTGTGATGGTAGATGGACTAATCTATCTTAATAAGGCCGGAGTAAAGAGATTGGTAGTTCCATCTAGTGAACAGTTGCGTAGTTTATTTTTAGGCGAATGTCATGACGCAACTGGGTACTTTGGCTACAAGAAAACGAGTGCTAACTTAGTACAACGATTTTGGTGGCCCAGAATGTTAGATGACGCAAAGAAGTATGTTGAGACGTGTCAGGTCTGTCAGCGGGACAAGCCGCGAACTCAAGCACCGCTTGGGTTATTGAAGCCTTTACCTATTCCTGATGGTCCAGAATTGAGTGTTTCCATGGATTTCATGGATACCCTTGTGACCAGCAAGAGTGGTAAGAGGCACATCTTCGTCATTATTGACCGATTCACCAAGTACGCTAGATTAATTCCAATGCCAGAGACAGCCAGGACAGAATATGTCATCAAGTTGTTCAAGGACAACTGGGTAAGCGACTTTGGTTTACCAAAGACCATCATTAGTGACTGAGACTTCCGATTCACAAGTGAGCTGTGGAAGAAGACTGCGGAACAGATGGGCAGTCAACTTCAGATGACTTCAGGGAATCATCCTGAAGCCAACGGACAGGCCGAACAAATGAATAAAGTTGTACAGCACTTGCTGAGGCATTACATCAAGCCCGACCAGGATGACTGGGATGAGCAGTTACCMCTCATCGCCAGCCTGTACAACAATGCTATACATAGTAGCACCGGCGTTAGTCCTAACCAGCTGCACTTAGGATGGAAGCCTAGATCAGCATTGGACTTCCTCCTACCTGAAAACCGACCCGCTGCAACTCMAGRCACACTTGAATATGGTGTGCAATATGAGAAGTTGTTGCAAGATGTTGTTGAACATATGAAGAAAGCTAAGCAAGTCATGATTGCTACTGAGAATCAACATCGCAGACAGTCCACATTTCAGGTAGGGGAACGTGTCTGGGTCAAGGCTAGTGAGTTAGGACAGGAGTTCGAAATATCTCGTAAACTAATGCCTCAATACTTTGGTCCCTGGGAAGTCTTGGATGTAGTGGGAGATGAGTCGGATGGTCCCACATATGTCATTCGTGTGCCTGGACACCTACGCACTCACCCAGTTTTTCATGCCTCAAAGCTTGCACCTTTCGCTGAGACTGATCAATTCTCTTCCAGGAGATCGATGCTGCCCCCAACCATGGATGGACAAGTCGACATCAACGACATTGTGGATCACAGGGATATGCCTGTTCCGAAGCCGCTGGGTCGAGGAAGACCTCATAAACCCAAGAGGGAGTACCGGATCAGATCCAGGCATCATACAGATCCTAAAGAAGATCGGTGGTTTACCCGGGAGGAACTGATGGAAACAGCTCCTCGGGTGGTGGCAGATTATGAACGGAAGCTAAAAGGAAAGGCACCTGTGAAGTAAGCATGTCAGAGGACTTTCGAAGCTAAGGGGGATGAAATGTGAGGATTGAGCCCTCAAGTAGGGGCCTTGCCATGATGTACATGTTCTGGGCTAAGGCCCCAGCAAGCCTAGTGCCCGCCCTAAGTGAAGGCGGGCCAGCAAATCAACAAGAGCCCTCTCGGCC